TTCAAGAAAGATCAAGATTCAAAGCTGTTTTCCATCCCTTGGGCAATGTTCTGGTTTTCTGTTACTGCCTAGTAAATCACCCAGAATTTAGTGGCTTAAAACAATAATTTATCATCTCTGATATTTCTGTGGGTTTACAGAGTTCAGCTGGTCAGTTCTCACTTGGGATCTTTCTTGCAGTTGTGGTCAGATAGTGCCTGGAGATGGAGCCATCTGAAGGCTCTACTGGGCTGGACCTCCAAGGTGGTTTTTCCCTCGTACAATCCAATCATTGTCTGATGTCTCACTGCTCCTCATGTGGCTTCTCTGTCCAGCAGAGTAGCCTGAAAATATATGGCTGCTTAGGGCTCTGAAAGTCAGGAAGCAGAATCTGTCAGGTAGTTAAGGGCTTTGTCCGGAACTGGCCCAGTGTTCTATCAGTTAAAGAAGTCACAGGCCCCCCCAGATTCAAAGGAGGTGGAGTGGAAGGTCACATTGTAGAAGAGCGTGTGGGTTAGGAGATTTTGTTGGGGCTATCTTTGGAAAATGAAATCTGCTGCAGACAGCTTACTTCACGTTCTTATCTGTAAAACAGAAATAACGATATTCACCTCACAGAATGGTTAAGAGGAATAGCACAGTGTCACCCACATCATAGTTGGTTCATATGTGTAAGTACCTTTCTCCCTCAATTCTCTAAAATAATTATTTCTGGTCTAATTTTCCTTTGGGTCACAGTTTGTTCAGTACATGGTTTGGTTAACATTTTCCTCGCTAGACTATGTTTCTCAGCCTGTTGTAACTTAAAACAAAAAACTTTATCATAGAAAATTTCAAACCTATCAAAAGTAGAGAGAAGAGTATAAGAAACCCACATGTACTCAGCTTCAATAATTATTAACTCATAGCCAATCTTATTTCATTCATCTCTACCCTTACTCAACATCCTGTGTCCAGATTAGTTTGAAGCAATTGATAAAATTTTTGAGTCTTTAGAGTGAAGGAGTGGCATCCTTAGTGTAGCTGGAAATCAGGGAAAAAGCAGTGTCTGGTGTGAATCCAGAAGAAAAATGGCCGTAGTAAGTGGAGTGCTATCAGGCCTTGGGAAAGAAAACCTAGAAACTGGAACTGTAACATCTTCAGAATGTTATTTTGGGGTTTTCATGCCCCTAAGAGAATGGAAGTGAGACTTCTCTGAGATCAAACCTTTGTTCTGAGATCAGACTACTGCAGTATGTAAGAGATAAGTGTGCATTTTTTACTTTGATGATTAGAGAATGACGAGCTTGTGAATTCTGAAAAATTCTCTGTATTTCCTGTAATGTTGATTGCAGGAGGGATAGTCCATGGCTGAGGTTTGTTTGTTTTATAATTTGCTACTTTTATCCAGAATAATTCACGGAGCATTTGGAAAGAATTTTTAGTTCTCTTCCCTGTAATCAACATAGAATTATCTAGAAAGATTTGATTGTGCTTGTAAATGGAAGGCGTACCTAGTGACAGGAAGAACCCATAGTACTTGTACAATTTTGTTTATACCTCAGAAGTGTCGTGTTTTGTGAAGGAGCTATAGTGGCTGACAGCCTGGTTCCTAGAACCGTGCATAGGATCGTGAAGAGAGGACTTGTACATTTCTCTGTGTGATTCTTGCTTCAGTCTTTTTTGTCTTCCCAGTTATGATATTTGACTTTTGGAATTATTTTCTCTCAACCACAATTCTAAACATCATTTTGGAAGTTCAATGTCAATGTAGATGACGCTTTAACCCTAAAGACCTTCACCCCAACTCCACTTTAGCCACCTACTCCCATAGCTCTGTCTTGGAACTTGTGATGATCCAGAACTGTTCTGCCTCTGAAATCCCAGCCTCCTCTGTCCCATGATCAGGCTACAACTTCTTAAGTTTCCGGCTCTTTTAGTTCTTTGCTTCCACTCTACCTATTCTCTGATAGTATCAGATTTTGATACTTTGACTCCTAGTTGTGAGGTGTGTGGCAAGTAATTTCATGTTCATTTATTCAGTAAATATTTATTGAACACCTGTTTGTCCTAGACAGATAGCAGTAAACAAAACTGATCTGGACTCTGCCGTTATGAAACTTAGAATTTACTGGTTGGAGACAGACATTAAAAAAAGCGTTAAACAAATATATAATTAGAAATTGTGATAAGTGCTATAAAGGAATGAACAGGGTGCTGTAGAAGAAAGTAAGAGGAAGCCATGTTAGATTGGGTGATGAAAGAAGGACTTTCTGACGTGACATTGAAATGGAGACCTACAGGATTGAAGTCCCTTGCCATGCAAAAAGTTAGGGGTCTGGTGTTTCAGTTAAGGAGCAGTATGTATGAAAGCTTAGAGGCAGGGATGAGCTTAATGAGTTGGAAGGATTGAAAGAAGGCCCTGTGGCTGGAATGCACTGAGAGAGGGAGAGAGTAAGCTGAAATGAAGTTGGCAAGTTGAACAAAGACCAACTGAATCAGGGCCCTGTAGCTCATGTTTAAGGGTTTGATTTTATTCTAAGTGTTTTGGGAAATAGTTGAAAGGTTTTAAGCTGGGGAATGATGGGGTCCATTTTATGTTTTAAAAAAGATCGTTCTGACTTCGGTATGTAGAATAGATAGGAAAAGGCTAGAAGAGAAACAGAACAACACTTAAGAGGGAAAGTATTTAGTATCTAGAGCCAGTGCTGGCTTGGCTTAGGATTATGTGCTAGTGGGGCAAGGAATAGAGTTGAGAAATGTCTTCCAGGTAGGAGTGGCAGGATTGATTGTTGGATGTGGAAGATAACGGTGAGGGAGGTGTCAGGAATGACTCTCAGGTTTCCCATATGAATAAACTGGTATGCTACCTTTTGAGGTAGGGAGGGAGGGTGTGTGTGTGTGTGTGTAAGTGTGAGAGAGAATACACATGCAGATCAATGAATCTGGAGTTCAGAAGAGTAGTCTGGGTTGGAGAGACATTTGAGAGGTGTTGTGTATAGGGGATATTTAAAGCAGTGGGAATGAGTGAGAGAGGGAGAGGGAAGAAAGAAGAGGGCACAGTGCTGTGATTGTGACAAATTATAGCATTTTGTAGTTGATTGTTTTTTTCCTTTTTAACTTTAGACGTTAGAATAGATTTAAGGTTAACTTTCTAAAGTCAATGTCACTTGCATTCAGGTAAACTTTCTTAGTGGGAGAGAAAGGGATGGAGTTAATGCTACTTGGGAGGGTAGAGGATGAAGTAGCCGACGGAGGGGCTCAGGGATGTGTATGGTCTTCAGATTATTTTATTTCACAGTATGCCTATTATGAGTGTTTCTCTTTTGTGTGTGTAATAGAGAATAAAGGTTGGAGCTTCTGATCTGAAGTTTTCCATAATCTGGTCCCAGCCTGCTTATTGACACTCATCATGCCACTCCCCTCCAGCCTCCATGCATGCTATATTCTGTTGTTATGATCCTTAACCCATAATTTCCTTTTTCATTGAGCAAGCAGACTAATATTTTATGTACCTGTTTCAGACAAAGCCTTCTCTGATTCCCTCAGGCAAACTTTGGCATTTGTTTATATTCCCAAGGTTCATTGATTATAGTGATTACTTTATTAAATTTTACTGTTTCTTGGATTGACTGTTTCCTTACCAAACTAATCTCCTTGACAGAGGGATTGGTCTTTTTTTCTTTCTATCTTTTAAGAAGGCATTTGAATGTTTGAATTACCATTCTGACTGTCTTTGTTTGGATAGCCAAATACAGCTTACATCACCTTCTGATAAGACAAAGTTTATGGTTAGAAAATATAGGGAGCAAGAAAATAGTTGAAAATGTCTTTCCCAGTCTGTTTTAATAGGTAGTTAAAATATATTTTTTAAAACTATGATAAGGAAGTCTCTAAAGTGTATTCTTTCTTATCAGCCCCAAAGTTTGATATTATTTATTTAAAAGAAAGATTCATGGTACTGAAGGAAATAGAAGCTGACTTAATGGAATTGTTCTGGTTATTTGAATCAACATTTTTGTAGAGTATCTGAGAATATTAAATTTTATTTGGAACCATTGGTAATGAAACCACAGATTAGAAATATTGTAAAACTTCATTGTAAGTTCCTAGTCTACAAATTGATTTATGCTTTGATTCAGTTTATGTCCCCTATTTGTACATAGTAAAAAAAACACAGTTTCTTTTTTTTTCCTGAGGAAGATTGGCCCTGAGCTAACTACTACCAGTTCTCCTCTTTTTGCTTAGGAAGACTGGCCCTGAGCTAACATCCGTGCCCATGTTCTTCTACTTTATATGTGGGACGCCTGCCGCAGCATGGTGTGCCAAGTGGTGCCATGCCCACACCTGGCATCCGAACCGATGAACCCCAGGCTGCCGAGAAGTGGAACGTGCGAACTTAACCGCTGCACCACTGGGCCAGCCCCAAAACACAGTTTCTATACCCATCATATTATAATCTTTGACTGCTCTGATAGATCTAGTGGAGCTTTTTCATTAGATTTGAAGAGAAAATTAGATAATAAATTCATTCCAGTTAAAAAGAAAATCAAGGGGCCGGCCTGGGGGCATAGTGGTTAAGTTTGCGTGCTTTGCTGTGGAGGCCTGGAGTTCACAGGTTCAGTCCCAGGCATAGACCTACACACTGCTCATCAAGCCATGCTGTGGTAGTGTCCCATATACAAAATGGGTGTTAGCTCAGGGACAATCTTCCTCAAGCAAAAAGAGGAAGATGGGCAACAGATGTTTGTTCAGGGCCAATCATCCTCACCAAAAAAAGAAAAAGAAAAGAAAATCTACCCAAAGAAAAAGAAAAAGAAAAAACTTTTGCATTCTCCCTTTTAGCTCTCAGTGGGAACCATTTATGAAGCCGTTCTGCAGACATCTTATGAAATTTTTTATTTGCTGTAATATAATAGAGAAAACTATCCTGGGAGTCAGCAAGTACATACACTGTTAGCTTGGGTACTGCATGTTGTTCTGAAACTACATAATTAGGTTTCTAATGAAAGACTTTTATTTATTTCTTCCTTTCTTTATAGGAATATATTTGTCCCAGATGTGATTCTGGCTTTATTGAAGAAGTGACAGACGATTCCAGGTACTGTACAAGTTCGTGAATAAATCAGGCTTTCGATTGTCAAAATTATTTTCTCTCAGCATTGACTGAATAGAAAGGAATTTGTTCTATAACTTGTATTCTCTGCTGAGAGAGAGAGAAGAAAAGTGGCAGAGGGAAGGGGAAGAAAAATGGGAAAATTTCGAAAGTGATGTGATAGTGAGTGTGATGAGATCCACTGCTTCTCATTGTGTGTGGCGTTCCTTGGAAACTTCTATATCCAAATCAGGGTAAATCTGGTAAGTTTTCGTTTATTTTCTGAGACTTTGGGGTGCTCTTAGATTATCTGCTGGTTTTTAGTGACCACTCTCTTGCCTGAAGGTAAATTGCTGTTATACCTCTTTGTTGGGCTGGGGAGTGACTTTTCAAAGATATCTAATAAGGTAAACAGGCTGTTCTAGTTGGGGAAATTGAGTTATTACTGTGCTTTGAGGATCCCTTGTTCTTATTAGGATTATTGCTGTCAAACTTAGGCCATCTTGCCACTGTAATATTAATATTTGGGTTTATAATGCTTGAAGTTGGCTCTCTTTGGTCTTACTAAAGGTATAAAAAGGCAAGATATTTCTGCAAGTGATGGTATTATATATTACATCTTGGTTAACATGAATAAAACTATAAAAATTTAGTAAGTAGAACAGCATTGATAGGATGGCCTTTTTTGGCTAAATGCGATGGCACATTTGTTCTTTTGTGGCTATCTGGTTAAACATTGGTTAGACAATTGAAGAAGTACTAACTGGATACAAAAATCTGTAATCTGAAGCTTCTTTTAATCTTCGAGTGACTTTGTGGATTTTGATGGCAGTATATAATTCCTTTACTGTTGCTGTTGGCAGAATCTAAAGTTGAAGGTCCCTTCCACACCCAGGAAAAACTACACATTTTACAGTATGTACTATCAGTTTAACTTTATTAATGATTGGTGATTCTATGTATAAGTGAACTGAAGCTTCTGGGGTAGTATATGGCATGGGATCTAGTTTGGTACAAACACATAAATGTTAATCCTAATAATCTTGGTTTTAAATAACACAATACCAACTCTAAACCTGTAAGATTAGCATGACAGCAAAATTAGCAATTTTGTGTGGATGGCATGCTAACTTGGGATAGCTTTTTATTTGTGCTATTATAATTGCATCAAATGCTTATTTCAAGCACTTCTGCTCTGCACGTGTTAAATAAAGAGCATATTGGTAATTGAGGGGCACTTAATGGGCTTATTTTTTTCTAAGTTTTTAAATAGTAATCCTGGTGTCTTTAGCCCTGTATACAAAGTACAGTTATAAATGAGGACAGTGATTAACTGCAGGACGAATCTTTTCTAGCAGGGAACAGTGACTTCTATGGATTCTGCTCTCCCTTGACTTAATTCTTTTGTTTGTGCCTTTGTAGGTCAAAGGTTGTCCTGTACAGATGCTATTGGTAGCAAATACTCAAAGGCAAAGATTATGTCTGTGGAAAGATAGTGTTTTAAATGCTTGAAGAAATATTTTTCTTAGACTCAGCATCTTAGAGGTAGCATGGTATTTTCTTCTATAAAGTTCATAAACATTTCCTGATTTGACTGCTTAGCAATTAGAGTGGTAAGTAGTGGTTGGTAAAAATTAATGAGAGGAAGTCCTTACATGTAAATATTGGATAATGGGCCCCTGTTTGCTACTTAGACATTCATCTAGAGGGGTAGCTTGTAAGTTTTCTTAAGCTTTGTAGCATTTCTCAGAACAATGGGGTTGTTTTTATTATCCCTTCTTTATGGTTAGTCCTGTCACTTAAAATACAACAGAATTTTAAGGAAAGGGAATCCCGAGGGAGTTTCAGGGGGAGCAGAATCCCCAAAAGATAGAGTTGATAGCTTTAATTACCAAGGATAGTTGAATCCCTGAAACCATGTAGAAAAGGCAGAAAAGAGCCTGGAAGCCCGTGTAGGTTAGAGCAATGAAATGAGTACACAGTGGTAGTTCAATTATTTATTTATGTAGCATAGACGTACAGGGACTTTTGGCTTGTTCCACATTTGAAGTGTTTTTTACAAAAGCGTTTTTAACTTATGAAACAAATACAGGTGTTAAGTGGTTTCTAATCAGAGAATAAGGCCTGAGGATAATTACATAGAGAATGGCATTAGCTTTGCTCTTTTGCTTTTGGTTCCAGACTAACCAGGGTGTGTTTGTTTCCTCAATGAACTCAGTGCAATGCCTGGATTGGTGTTGTAATTCTGAAAATGAAAGCTGTTTGTAGTAGTTTGTGGACTTTATATCTTTGGGGTGAGTGTGTGTACATGTTTGTGTGCTTACGTCTGTCTCTTAAAGTAAAAGTGGTGTCCAGTTCTTGATTCTTTCTACCTCCTTTCCCCCAAAGTGTTAGCCAGTTTCTTCTCATTTTTGCAAATTTCATGGGGACAATAAGATCTAATATTCCTCCCTGGTCTTTGGGAATAGATAGCTATTTTATTGTTTATACATGTGATAGTAATTCAACAACTTTTATTTTTGAGTTATAAAATATATTGAACATACTCATTATAGGATATGGTATTACAGGGTTTTCAGAAGTGATGAGTGCTCTGTATAATACCTGACACTCTACACATATTTGTGGTATTATTAAATGCAATCTTTACCCCCTGAATTTATAAATTTCTGTATGGAGGAGACAGATTCTAGATATTTATAATGCAACGTCGAATTTAGAATCAAAAGTCAAAGTGCAGAGGGGTGTAGTGGACTCTCACTTGGTTGGTGAGTTCAGAAAAGACTTAATGGAGGAGGTAGCATTTGAGGTGGGCCCTGAAGGATGTGTAGGATAATGAAAGAATAGGGTAAACTATCAGAAGAAGAAAAAATATTTATTGAGCCCTCTTCTAACGTGTTAAATACAGTGCAAGACCCCTTGCATTACTCCATTTAATCATTCCCAAGTCTCAAATGTTGTGTTCAGCTGGTGGTTGAATGGTTTTTTAGTGAAAATTTTCTTTTTAAAAGATTGGCGCCGGAGCTAACAATTGTTGCCAATCATCATCTTTTTGTTTTTTTCCTTCTTCTTCTCCCGAAAGCCCCCCAGTACATAGTTGTATATTCTAGTTGTGAGTGCCTCTGGTTGTGCTATGTGGGATGCCACCTCAGCATCGCCTGATGAGCGGTGCCATGTTGGCGCCCAGGATCCGAACTGACGAAACCCTGGGCCCCTGAAGCAGAGTGCGAGAACTTAACCACTCGGCCACAGGGCTGGCCCCTGAAACATTATTTATTTATTTATTTATTTTTTAAACATTTTAGTTTTCTTTTTTCTCCCCAAAGCCCCCCGGTACATAGTTGTGCATTTTTAGATGTGGGTCTTTCTAGTTGTGACACGTGGGATGCCGCCTCAGCATGGCCTGACGAACGGTGCCATGTTGTGCCCAGGATCCAGGGTGGCCAAACCCTGGGCCACCAAAGCGGAGCACACAAACTCAACCACTCGGCCATGGGGCCGGCCCCCCTGAAACATTATTTTGAGAATCTTGTTTTATTTCTTTTTTTTTTTAAGATTTTATTTTTTCCTTTTTTCTTCCTAAAGCCCCCGATACATAGTTGTATATTTTAGTTGTGGGTCCTTCTAGTTGTGGCATGTGGGATGCCACCTCAGCATGACCCGATGAGCTGTGCCATGTCTGTGCCCAGGATTCAACCGGTGAAACCCTGGCCCACTGATGCAGAGCGCTCGAACTTAACCGCTCGGCCATGGGGCTGGCCCCTATTTCTTAACCTATTTGAGAATAAATGTTTTTCTTCTTTTGCTGGGTCAAATTTCAGTTGCATTGCTGGCCGTGGGTCCTTCTTCTCTATGGTAATACCTCTCTCCGTTTTTCACTTGATTTATCCTTTTTTTTTTTTTTTTGAATTTTTTTTTTTTTTTTATTAATGTTATGATAGATTACAAGCTTGTGAGACTTCAGTTGTACATTTTTGTTAGTCATGTTGTGGGTACACCACTTCCCCCCACTTGATTTATCCTTGATTTTGTAATTTGTTACAATATTTTTCAAAGATTAGTCCACATACCAGTTCTTCATAATTTCCTTTGTAGGTGGCATGTTGGGATGAGTTATTTTTCCTTACTGGGCTTTGTTCTCAGTGTACCATTCTATATTTAGCTTCTGGGAGGGAAGCTTGTTCCTGGGAATAGAGTCACTACTCATTCCTTTTTCTCTTCAGTTTTTTAGGTGGTGGCGGCAGCCGGCTAGACAATAGCACATCAACACATTTTGCAGAGGTGAGTTTTCCTTTGGCTGTAGGGATCCTTTAGGTAGTGGGTGGATGTTAAAATCGTGACAGATTTTCACTTCCCAGCACGGTACCATATTAGAGTGCATAAGAAAAATGTGGGCAAGAGTAGACCTTAGAAAGATTTGTGTTTTCAGTAGCTGGGGCTTTGGCATGCTACCTTTGATAAACCCTTAATGAGGAGAGAGTTATAGCCTTGAGCTGTGCTGTTTTCAACTTGTTGGTGTTTTCGGCTTCTTTATTGTGTATATGGTGTGAGAATAAAAAGCTTGTGTTGTTTTTGAAATAACAGTGTTGCTGACTCTGTTTAGTGGCATGACAGCCAAGTAAAGAGCAGGCCAAGAATGAGTTGTAATTGAACTCACAATGAAGCACAGTCTTCAACTTGACATAGAGGTACCGTTTTCTAGAGATTACCTGTGATGATCATGGTGGTTAGGTATAATTGGAATTAGGGGCTCAGATTAAGGATGATATTTACTTGCCTTTCAGAGCTCAGGATCGGACCTATACTTAATTTCTAGTTCTTTATGTAATGTAGCATCCATATTTTTGGGGGGGAAATAGTCTTAACTGTGATTTGAAAATAAGGCATTAGTCTGCGTTTTTGAATATCATTTTATGTTAAATTCAGAGTAGTTTTCTTTTTTCATTTTATCCATTGACTTAAAATCTCTTAATTTTTTTTAACCATTTTTGAGTGTACAATTCAGTAGCATTAGATACGCTTTGTTTTTAATCATTTAAAGACTATAGCCCATAAAGGACAGACCGGCTCAGCCTTACAGAAAACATGGGTTTGCTTTTGCTTCTGTTGCCACGGAACTTGCTTGGCTGTAGAAAGCTAAGGGATGCTAAAAAACAAAAACAAAAACAAAAACGAAAAACAAGAGTTAAATCCCATAATCAGAATTTCTTTGTGTCTCAGGATCATGTTAGCCTTTTCCAGAGATAGCTCAAGTGCCTAGAGTGCACAATTTTTTGGTATTTGCTTGTGTGTAAACTAAAACTGTATTAGCAGTGTATTTAAAAATTGGTATTCAATAAGAAGCCCATAAAACTGTAAACCTCTCTCTTTTATCCTCTGAAAATTATCTTAAGATCTGTAGCCCTCCAGATTTTTATGTTGTTAGATTTACAGTCAAGAAACTTGATGAAGTGTTTGGGTAATAGTCTTGTTTTGTTAAGGGCATTTTCTTTTACTTAGGTTCTGTGGTAGTACTTTTTAATAACCAGTATTAAGTTTTTTTTTAACTCTCAACTCCCTCGTTACATGGATTGATTAGCGTGTGGTTCAAGACATCTCATGTCTTTGAACTCCCATTTTTATTTTCTTATTTTGTTGGATTGAAAAACATTATTTAAAATTTATTCCGCTTGCCAGGCCTGGAAGCCTTTCTGATTTTAGTCCCTGTTTTTCCCCTGTGTGTGCTATTCCTGATAACACAGATTTGTCACTTAATGGTTATGCATATGCAGAAGAAACTTTATCTGACTTTCCTTAAGGGTTAGTTCTCTCTTAGGAAGTGGAAGTAGTCTGTCAGTTTTATAGATATGACTCACTAGGAGGAGATGCATTAAGAAGAAAAATAAATATATGTAGTCAGTTTCCTAACTTTAGTAATGCTAAATCTGACACTGATGGTGTGAGCTATCCTTCAGGTGTTAAAGTAGTTTTGCTGAATCATAGCCTGTGACTTCATGTTCCGTAGGGTTTTTAGCAAGGGCATGATGATGCTTAGTTTTCCCTCTATAGAATTCCCCTGTCATCATGCCTGAATATTTCCGTTTTCTCCTTTTTAAGTGATATTTTGCATTTGAAAAATAGAAAAAATCTGTCTTTATAGAAATCTGTATATTGTAGAAGTTGCCAGGAATTTTAAAAAATCAGCTAAGGATTACATATCAAATGCTTTTATACACAGCACTCTTTCAGAAGTAGGAGCAAGAAGCAAATGTCCTGATTGCCTTGCCTGCAAGGAACTTATAATTTAGTTGGGGAGCAAGTGCAGACACACATGAAACAAATAAGGAAACAAGAAAGAGTGCACAGAGAGTATAATAGACTTATTGTGGGGTGTATATCACAAGCATAGTAGAAGGGGGAGATTCTGTGGGCTGCAATCTTTGGGAAGACTAAAGTCTACAGGAAGAGAGGTCAAATGACGTAGTTGTATGCCTGGAACTGGATTGCCTGAGTTCAAATCCTGAGTCTACCACTTACGGCTATGTAACCTGGGCAAGTTTACTTAGAATCTCTCTGTACCTCTGTTTCCTTGTCTGTAAATTGGGGAAAATACACCTACCTCATAGAGTTGTTGTGAGGGTTAAATGAGTTGATACATGCCAGGCTTATAGGCCAATATGCCTGCTACATAGTGAGTGCTGGATAAATTTTAGCCATTATTAAGATTTCACGGAGAAGGTAAAACAAGGCTTCAAGTACTGGACACTTATAGGGAATGGGGAATTTAGATAAGCAAAGAGGTGAGAAAAACTATTTCAAGATAATATTCACAGGCTATAAGGTTTTAGACCCATGTCCCTGGAGGAAAAACGTAGAAAATTATATATAGAAACCAAATTTATTCTTTTTTATATTTTACTTGGTAATTTTAGCGCTTATGTTCAATTTTGCTCTATTTCTCTTCAGCCAGAGTTGCTTGTACAATGAAGAGGTTATTTCTATAATTAATATTTACTAATAGCCGAGTTGCTAAAGTTCTACGTATATTAGACCAGGCTTAGTCCAAGCAAAATTTCTAACAAAATCAGTGTTGATTTCTTTTTAAGTGGATCTGGGATGTAGAGAGAGAGTGGATGAAAATGGAGTGAGGGTGGGAGGACAGTTGCCAGTTAAATGGGAGCTATGTTTGAGTAGTGTGTGAGGGTCAGTGGAGAGTGAATCTAAAAATGTTGCCAGCAGTTTTTAGAGAGGTTAGATTGGCCATTGCTATACTGAGGTCCCTGATGATAACCTGGGGGAATTGAGCCCATGGCTACCTGAGAGTTTCATTGATTACTTGAAAGCTTTTCACCATGACCTGGTGCCAGTGAGACATCTGATCTGAGAGTCTCAGTTTACCTGAATGGACCACTTCAGTGCAGGGGTGGCTGTGGCTGCTGCCTCAAATTAGCAGAAAATAAGATAGATGGCTTTCTGGAAAAAGAGCTCCCAGGTCTGCACAAGAGGGCAGGGTGCTCTGAGCAGTCTGATTTATTTTTTTTTAAAATAAAGTTTGTTTTAGTACACATTCAGTATTATAATGGCAATAAAAAAGATGTTTAAGTGTCCTACTATTCTAAGATCTCCCTTTCTCCGTATATTTCAAGTTTTGTCCTGAAAGATATTATAACAACATTAGGAGATTTTTTTAAAAATGAAAAATCTCCCATATTCCATAATGTTTTCAAGGTTCATCCATGTTGTAGCATGTATCAGTATTTCATTCTTTTTTATGGCTGCATAGTATTTTATTGTATGGACACTACATTTTGTGTATCCACTTAGTTGATGGACATTTGGGTGGTATACACTTTTTAGCTCTTATGCATAATGCTGCTGTGAATATTTGTGTACAGATTTTTGTGTGAACATATTTTTTCCGTTCTCTTGGATATATAACTAGGAGTGAAATTACTGGGTATATGGTAACTGTTTAACTTTTTGAGGGATAGACGGTAGTATTTTAAGAGGTGCTGATGTGATTGTGGTTAGCTTATAGCAAGTTCAGCTAAATGGAAGATATTGTCTATCCTATTTTTTATATTGAAATAAATAAGTATTTCAGCCCACATATTTTCAGAAGTCTTGTCTTTATCTCCAGTCAAAGTAACATTTTCAGTTTTTCAAGACAAAACATGTCAAATAAACTGTCTCTGTGATTCTTTTCAATGTTTCACCGAAAGTTTGTGGTGGTGTTCTCTGTTTGTTTCTCCTTATGTAAGTCATGCCCTGAATACCCAGTTTTGTTGTATGAGCTGTTTTTTTCTCTTGTGCTTGTCTAAGTTCGCTCAGAAGCGAATGACCTGAAGCTATTCTGATCCTTAGTGTTGATTTGGTATAAATTTGTGTGGTGTGCTTTTTTATCCTGTTTTCTATGGTCAGAGTGCACTATTGTTCTGGGACAAATACATTGACTGTTAGTTACTATTCTTTTGCACTAATTTGCAGTTTCCAGACAAGTAGCAAAATGCCTCATGCCGATGTTGAAGCTGCTTCTAAGATTGAGTTCCTTCAGAATTTTTACATATGTTAGATGTGATAATTTATGTAATTATCAGTGCAGATTATTGATATTATTATCTTGGTGCTTGATTTTTCTTCTAGTCAAAATTTTCAAATATTTACTTTTTACATTATTGTCATTAAAAAAATTTTTTTTAAAAGATTGGCACCTGCGCTAACATCTGTTGCCAGTCTTCTATTTATTTTTCTTCTCCCCAAAGCCCCCCCGTACATAGTTGTATATTCTAGTTGTGAGTGCTTCTGGTTGTGCTACGTGGGACGCCGCCTCAGCATGGCTAGACGAGCAGTGCCATGTCCGCGCCCAGGATCTGAACTGGTGAAACCTGGGGCCGCCAAAGCAGAGTGTGCGAACCCAACCACTTGGCCACAGAGCCAGCCCCTACTTTTTACATTATTATTGTTATTTTATTTTATTTTTTTGAGGAAGATTAGCCCTGAGCTAACATCTGCCACCAATCCTCCTCTTTTTGCTGAGGAAGACTGGCCCTGAGCTAACATCCATGCCCATCTTCCTCTACTTTATATGTGGGACGCCTACCACAGCATGGCTTGTCAAGCGGTGCCATGTCTGCACCCGGCATCCAAACCAGCGAACCCTGGGCCGCTAAGGGAAACGTGTGCACTTAACCACTGCACCACCAGGCTGGCCCCATACTTTTCACATCATTTATAATGAAAATAATGATTACACTGAGAGTTCTTTTCTGTGAGCAAACATTGTGGAACTTTATTCATACAGTAAGGGAATCGTAGATTTCTTCGAGTATGGTTTACCTAAGTGAGATGGATGATGGAGAACAATGAGGATGCTGCTTATACTTTTTCACTTATTGAAGGCAGGTATAGTTTTGCATTTTTAAATGTTGCATTTACTTTGGAGTTTTGTTGTAGACCACTTTTCCGACTAGAAACCCATGATCTCTAACAGATGGAGGGTGTCACTAGAAAGCAGAGGAAAGTAAGTCTGATATGATAAAATGTACAAATGGCAGTTAAAATGAAAAGGTGCTTTATTTCACTAGTATTTAGAGAAATCTTATTGATGTTTTTAGTGTGTATATTATTTTTTGCTCTTCAGATTAGATATTAGAATTAAAAATTTTTTTAACAATGCTGGCAAGAGTATGGGAGAATGTAAGCTCCTGTACTCTGGTAGGAGTTTAAATTGGTATAGCCCTTCAGAGGGTAGTTTGGTACTGTCTGGCAAAATTTAAAATGCTTATACCCAGTAATTCTATTTCTGTGCTACAGAATGTTCATATGAAAGAGAAGGAATGCTTCCCACTGCATTTTATGAGGCTAATAAAACGTGATACCAAAACCAGACTAAGATAGTACACAAAAGGAAATTTACAGGCCAATTCACTCATGAACATGAAGTTCACCCAAAACGCCTGAAATAGAATCCAGCAATGTATCATAAGCCACATTGTGTTTGTCCTAAGAATTCAAGGTTGGGTTCGTATTGAAGGCTAGAAGGCAGTGGGAAGACATATTTAAAGTGCTGAAAGAAAAAACTGCCAGCCAAGAATTCTAAGTCCAGCAAAACTATCCTTCAAGAATGAAGGAGAAATTAAGACATTCCCAGATAAATAATAGCTAAGGGAGTTCATTACTAACAGACCTTCCATATAAGAAATGCTAAAGTGAGTCTTTTGGGCTTTCTGGAGTAGGGCCAAAGAACGTGCATTTTAAATAAACCCTCCTATTGATTCTTATATACCAAGACCAAAAAACAACAACAAAAACATCACAATGAGATATTTTCTATCCAGCAGACTGGTAAAAACAACGACAAAAGTCCTATGATACCAAGTGCTTGCCAGGATTTGGTACAGTGGAAAGTCTTAAACACTCTTTGTGGATCTGTAAATCAGTACAACCACTTTGGAAAACAATTTGGCATTACCTAGTAAAGTTGAAGATGTGTAGACCATATAAAGTTGTACAGACCACTATTAGAGAAACTCCTCTATCTCTGCAGCAGAAGACGTATGTAAGAATGTTCACACTGACTGTAATAGCAAAAAACTGTAAACAATCCAGATATGTATTGAGAGGAGAAGAGATTTTTAAAATGTATGGCATAAAGTGTGTGTGAAAATGAGTACATCAACATGTAAGGTACTTTCATAATTTATAAGATACATTTTATTTAGGGATGTGTACATTTGTAGTAAAACTGCAAAGAAAAACAAGGAAATGATAAAAAAATTGAGGATAATGGTTACTTCCGGACATTGGGGGAGGAGGCACACATGAGGATTTCAGTGGCTTTGGTAATGTGGGCTAAGAGATCATTACATGGGTATTTGTTTTATTTTCTTATACCTCATTTACTTAGGTTATTTCTCATGTATCACATACTATATATTATAATAAAAAATGTTAAAGATTATATAAAATATAAAACATTCGTGCTATGCTGCTGTTGAGAAGAATGATATGACTTTATGTTCTGAGTCAATGTCAGCCCTTTTTTTCTCCATAGCATTTATCCCTTTCTAACATATACAGTTTCCTGCACCCCCTTTTTTAAAAGTCTGGGTTTTTTTTGTTGTTGTTTATTTATTTATTGAGAAAGATTAGCTGTGAGCTAATATCCGTGCCCATCTTCCTCCACTGTATGTGTGGGACACCTGCCACAAAATGGCTTGATAAGCAGTGCATAGGTCCACGCCCGGAATTCAAACCAGTGAACCCCGGGTGGCCGAAGCAGAGCGCACAAACTTAACCACTACGTTACCGGGCCAGCCCTTCCTTTCCCCTTTTTTTGGAGGGAGGAAGAGTGTCTCTCTCTTGCCACTTGAAAATGAAATTCATTAGGGCAGAGTACTTTGTTCCTAACATTTTGTTCACTGCTGTATCTTAACAATTCCCAGAAAGTGATTGGGTGGGACATAGTACATGCTCAACAAGTATTTGTTGAATGAATGAATGGGTGTATGTACGTATTTTTTTTACAAAACCTAGTTTGTGTGTGTATACACACAGATATTTAAAGATCTGGAATTCTACACACCAAATTAGCCTCTAGGTAGGGGAGTAGAATTAGGGGTGGGGGTCACCACTGAGTGGGTAGAGACCATATTGCACTTTATATATATATATATTTTTTTTTTTTTCTTTTTCTTTTTTGTGAGGAAGATTGGCCCTGAACTAACATTCATTGCCAATCTTCCTCTTTTTGTTTGAGGAAGATGTCGCTGAGTTAACATCTGTGCCAATCCTCCTTTGTTTTATGTGGGATGCCACCACAGTTTGGCTTGATAAGTGGTCCTAGGTCCACGCCTGGGATCTGAACTTGCGAACCCTGGGCCACTGCAGCAGAACACACAAACCTTAACCACTACACCACGGGGCTGGCCCTATTGCAGTTTATATTTATATTCTACTGTGTTTGCATGTTTATAATAATGCATTTATTGTTTATTTTTTAATTAAAAAGGAGGAAACATCTTTGAAAATCAAGAAGCAAATTGTAAACTGGAAAAATTAACCAAAAAATAACATAATATTGACAAACCTAAACAAACTCCCTAATTTTTTGTTTTTTTGAGCAAGATTAGCCCTGAGCTAACTACTGCCAATCCTCCTCTTTTTGCTGAGGAAGCCTGGCCCTGAGCTAACATCCATGCCCATCTTCCTCTACTTTATACGTGGGACGCCTACCACAGCATGGCTTTTGCCAAGCGGTGCTGTGTTCTCTCCCGGAATCTGAACTGGTGAACCCCGGGCTGCCGAGAAGTGGAAAATGGGCACTTAACCGCTGTGCCACCGGGCCAGCCCCATGGTGTTGCTTTTTTACAAGTGTGTAAATATATCCATTTTATTTAAATCTTAGTTGTGGCAAAACACAAGGTTCTCACAGGTTGATCTAAATGATAGATTATGGTTGTACAACTCTGTGATCACCTTTGGCTCATGTTTTTATTTCAGAAGGGAAAACTGGTCAAAGGCATGTGGATATGAGCTCATTGTTAAGGCTGTTGGCTTGTTGTTTCTATATGAAGGAAATTAAGTTTCTCAATATGTGAGTTTTTTTCCCCCATGCATGTACTTTAAAGACTTCTCTTTTCTCCTCCATGCAATTGGGGAGACATATACTTTTAAGTTTGGAGCTGTTGAATTTTGAAGTGTTAAAAGTTATTCCTCTCTTTTTGCAGTATTTCTTCTGTTTCCTCTTTCCCCTGTTCTTGAAACGAGTAACATGGTTTATTTCCTGTTTTTGCTAGCTCTGGGACCATTTGGACCACGCGATGTTTTTCCAAGATTTTAGACCATTTCTAAGTAGTAATCCACTGGACCAAGATAATAGAGCCAATGAGAGGAGTCACCAAACTCACACTGACTTCTGGGGACCAAGTCGGCCTCCACGGCTGCCAGTGACTCGGAGATACAGATCACGAGGAAGTACTCGTCCTGATAGATCCCCAGCTATTGAAGGGTGAGTACAAAGTTATTTTTTAAGTTCTCTTTAAGAGTAGTTTCAATGAAAGACATATTAGCATAATCTAATTTTTTTTTTCATTGAGTTAATGATAGGTTACAATCTTGTGAAATTTCGGTTGTACATTAATGTTTGTCATTCGTGTTGTAGGTGCACCACTTCACCCTTTGTGCCCACCCCCCACCCCACCTTTCCCCTGGTATCCACTAAACTGTTCTTAGTCCACATTTTTAAATTCCTCATATAAGTGGAGTCATACACAGATTATCCTTCTCTAGCTGGCTTATTTCACTTAACATAATTCCCTCAAGGTCCATCCATGTTATTGCAAATGGAATGATTTTGTTCTGTTTTGCAGCTGAGTAGTATTCCATTGTATATATGTACCACATCTTCTTTATCCATTTGTCTGTTGATGGGCACTTAGGTTGCTTCCATGTCTTGGCTATTGTAAATAATGCTGCAGTGAACATTGAGGTGCACAGGACTTTTGGGATTGCTGACTTCAAGCTCTTTGGATAAATACCCAGTAGTGGGAGGGCTGGATCGTATGGTAGTTCTATTTTTAGTTTTTTGAGGAATCTCCATACTGTTTTCCATAGTGGCTGCACCAGTTTGCATTCCCACCATCAGTGCATGAGGGTTCCATTCTCTCTGCAACCTCTCCAACATTTGTTACTATTAGATTTAGATATTTTTGTCATTCTAATGGGTGTAAGGTGATATCTCAGTGTAGTTTTGATTTGCATTTTCCTCATGATCAGCGATGATGAACATCTTTTCATGTGCCTATTGGCCATCCGTATATCATCTTTGGAGAAATGTCTGTTCATGTCTCCAGCCCATTTTTTGATCGGGTTGTTTGATTTTTTGTTGTTGAGTAGTGAGAGTTCTTTATATATTATGGATATTAAGCCTTTGTCAGATATATGACTTGCAAATATTTTTTCCCAGTTAGTGGGTTGTTTTTTTGTTTCAATCCTGTTTTCATTTGCCTTGAGGAAGCTCTTTAGTCTGATGAAGTCCTATTTGTTTATTCTTTCTATTGTTTCCCTTCTCTGAGAAGGCATGGTGTCCGAAAAGATCCTTTTAATACTGATGTCAAAGAGTGTACTGCCTGCGTTTTCTTCCAGAAGCCTTATGGTTTCAGGTCTCACCTTTAGGTCTTTGATCCATTTTGAGTTTATTTTGGTGAATGGTGAAAAAGAATGGTCCATTTTCATTCTTTTCCATGTGGCTTTCCAGTTTTCCCAGCACCTTTTGTTGAAAAGACTTTCTTTTCTCTGTTGTATGCCCTCAGCTCCTTTGTCGAAGATAAGCTGTCCATAGATGTGTGGTTTTATTTCTGGGCTTTCAATTCTGTTCCATTGATCGGTGCACCTGTTTTTGTACCAGTACCATGCTGTTTTGATTACTGTAGCTTTGTAGTATGTTTTGAAGTCAGGGATTGTGATGCCTCCTGTTTTGTTCTTTTTTCTCAGGATTGCTTTAGAAATTCGGGGTCTTTTGTTGCCCCATAGGAATTTTAGGATTCTTTGTTCTAATTCTGTAAAGAATGTCATTGGGATTCTGATTGGGATGGTATTGAATCTGTAGATTGCTTTAGGTAGAACAGACATTTTAACTATGTTTATTCTTGCAATCCATGAACATGGAATGTCTTTCCATCTCCTTATGTTGTCATCCAATTCTCTCAGAAAGGCCTTGTAATTTTCATTATATAGGTCCTTCGCTTCCTTAGTTAAATTTACCCCAAGGTATTTTATTCTTTTTGTTGCGATTGTGAATGGTATTGTGTTCTTGAGTTCTTTTGCTGTTAGTTTGTTATTAGAATATAGAAACGCTACTGATTTATGCAAATTGATTTTATACCCTGCAACTTTGCTGTAGTTGTTGATTACTTCTAAGAGTTTGCCAATGGATTCTTTGGGGTTTTCTATATATAAGATCATGTCGTCTGCAAACAGCAAGAGTTTCACTTCTTCCCTCCCTATTTGGATTCCTTTTATTCCTTTTTCTTGCCCGATTGCTCTGGCCAGGACCTCCAGTACTATGTTGAATAAGAGTGGTGATAGAGGCCATCCTTGTCTCATTCCTGTTTTCAGGGGGATGGCGTTCAGTTGTTGCCCATTGAGTGTGATGTTGGCTATGGGTTTGTCATATATGGCCTTTATTATGTTGAGGTAGTTTCCTTCTATGCCCATTTTGTTCAGAGTTTTTATCATAAATGGCTGTTGGATCTTGTCAAATGCCTTCTCTCCATCTATTGAGATGATCATGTGGTTTTTATTCCTCTGTTTGTTGATGTGGTGTATCACGTTGATTGATTTGTGGATGTTGAACCATCCCTGTGTCCCTGGTATGAATCCCACCTGATCATGATGGATGATCCTTTTGATGAATTGCTGAATTCTGGTGGCCAAAATTTTGTTTAGAATTTTTGCATCTGTGTTCATCAGTGATATTGGCCTGTAGTTCTCTTTTTTTGTGGTGTCCTTGTCAGGCTTTGGTATCAGCGTGATGTTGGCCTCATAGAATGTGTTAGGAAGTGTTCCATCTTCCCTAATTTTTTGGAATAGCTTGAAAAGGATAGGTATTAAATCCTCGCTGAAAGTTTGGTGGAATTCCCCAGGAAAGCCGTCTGGTCCTGGGGTTTTATTCTTTGAGATGTTTTTGATTGCTGTTTCAATCTCTTTCCTTGTGATTGGTCTGTTCAAATTGTCTGCCTCTTCTTGAGTGAGCTTTGGGAGATTGTAGGAGTCCAAGAATTTATCCATTTCCTCTAGGTTATCCATTCTGTTGGCATATAGTTTTTCGTAGTATTCTCTTATAATCTGTTGTATTTCTGCAGAGTCTGTTGTTATTTCTCCTCGCTCATTTCTGATTTTGTTTATTTGAGCTTTCTCCCTTCTTTTCTTTGTAAGTCTGGTTAGTGGTTTGTCAATTTTATTTATCTTCTCAAAAAACCAGCTCTTTGTTTCATTGATCCTTTCTACTGCCTTTTTCGTTTCAATAGTATTTATTTCTGCTCTGATTTTTATTATTTCTCTCCTTCTGCTGACTTTGGGCTTTATTTGTTCTTTTTTCCCTAGTTCAGTTAGGTGTAGTTTAAGATTGCTTATTTGGGATTTTTCTTGTTTGTTAAGATGTGCCTGTATTGCGATGAATTTTCCTCTTAATACAGCTTTTGCTGTATCCCATATGAGTTGGTATGGCATGCTATCATTTTCATTTGTTTCCTGGTATTTTTTGATTTCTTCTTTAATTTCTTCAATGATCCATTGCTTGTTCAGTAGTGTGTTGTTTAGTCTCCACATCTTTGTGCCTTTGTCAGCGTTTTTCTTGTAATTAATTTCTAGCCGTATAGCATTATGATCGGAGAAGATGCTTGTTATTATTTCAATTTTTTTAAATTTGTAGAGGCTTGCATTGTTTCCCAACATATGGTCTGTCCTTGAGAATGTTCCACGTGCACTTGAGAAGAATGTGTATTCAGCTCTTTCAGGGTGGAGTGATCTATATATGTCTATTAAGTCCAATTGTTTTAGTTTTTAATTTAGCTCCACTATTTCCTTGTTGATTTTCTGTCTGGATGATCTGTCCATTGATGTGAGTGGGGTGTTGAGGTCCCCTACTATTATTGTGTTGTTTTTAACATCTTCTTTTAGGTCTGTTAATAGTTGCTTTATGAATCTTGGTGCTCCTGTGTTGGGTGCATAGATATTTATAAGCATTATTTCTTCTTGATGAAGTGTCTCTTTGATCATTATATATATTTGATCCCTCTGTCTCTCTCTTTACCTGTCTTATTTTGAAATCCGCTTTGTCTGATATAAGAATTGCAACACCTCCCTTTTTTTTCTTGCTATTAGCTTGAAGTATTGTCCTCCACCCCTTCACCCTGAGCCTGTGTTTGTTCTTGGGTCTGAGGTGTGTTTCTTGGAGGCAACAAATTGTTGGATCTTATTCTTTAATCCATTTTGCCACTCTGTGTCTTTTTATTGGAGAGTTCAATCCGTTTACATTGAGAGTGATTATTGATGCATGTGGACTTAATGCTGTCAATCTGTTGCTTATTATCTGGATTTCCTGAGTTTCTTTTCCTGTGTGCTTTAGCCTACCCTTTTAATACTGCAATTTCTTATGCTGGGTTTCTTAGATTTTTCCTTATTTATGATTTGTGACTCTGTTCTGTGTTTTAGTGTCTACCTTGAAGTTTGTATTTAGAATTTCATGTATAATATAGTCTATTCTCTGGTGGTCTCTTACTTACTTGACCAATACTGATTTAGACCCTTTGCTCTTCCCCTCCTAAATAATTATTGTCATTTCTTATTCCAACTTGTGTTATGAATTTGTAGTTAGAGTGATAAGATCGTCCTTGCTTTGGTAGTTTCCTTACCTTTACCCTAATGCTGTAGTTGAATATTTGCTATCCTGTTCTGGTTCTATCCATCGGTCTCCCTAGTCTGTGGATTGTGACCCCTTTCTCCCTTTTTTCTTTTTTCAGGTATGAGAGCCTTCTTGAGGATTTCTTGTAGTGGAGGGCTTTTAGTTACAAATTCCCTTAACTTTTGTTTGGAAAAGATTTAATTTCTCCCTCATATCTGAAGGAAATTCTTGCTGGATAGAGTATTCTTGGCTGAAGATTTTTATCTTTTAAAGCTTTGAATATGTCACTCCATTCTCTCCTGGCTTGTAAGGTTTCTGTAGAGAAATCCGCTGAAAGTCTGATAGGGGCTCCTTTGTAGGTTATTCTCTGCTTTTTTCTTACTTCCCTGAGTATTCTCTCTTTATCTTTCCTTCTTAGCATAATCTAATCTTTATAAAAAGGCTCTCATACTTACTACCTTTGTGGACAAGATGGAGATAAATTGACAGAGTGAAAATGAAGCTGAATTGAATGTCTGTTTTCAATTAGTACCAGTTAATGAATGATGATAAATTAAAGAATGATAAAACTAATGATATAGGTCTCTGGTTACCATTTTTATTAA